AATAAAAAGTGTTTATTGCCGTCTCTTCTAATCGATCTGTTAAAACCCCGATACGAGAACAGGGAAAGTTCAAGTATATCTGTTTCAGTGTATTGTATATCCATTCTATAGATACTAGACTAACAACCAGACCCCGCGAAACAATGCAAGATTGTTGTGTCGTTACACGCTGTAGAACGAGGTCTTCACGACACACACACACATAACTATAACCCATGTTGGCTACCACGTACCATATCCTTCTTAACAAATATGCCGACTGTGTTTTAAAGAAAGCCTGCCCCGGACGACCTTTACTTGTCACTATATTGTTGTCATAACGCAAACCTGGTGAGATATGATCAATGATATCATATATAACCTGTAGTAGCTATAGTTCAAGTTTTATGTAATCCTATTTGTACAGCGATAAGACCCCACTTTTTTTTTAAAGTTTCAAGCAATCGATAACCCACGGCTATAGTGTTTGTAAATTCAAAGTCAAATAAGATAAAAAAGGGTTTTATTATCAATATTCAACTACAGAAAGCAGAGGTTTAATGCAACGCATATAGATGAATAAAATACATGATCAATCAGCCAACATGTATTTCAAAGAAAACGCGTGGGAATTATAGCTCCCATTTATGGTCTAAGGCATGCTTGATCTATAAAGTGGTAAACTAAATGACCTATTCGGTTACCATTAAAATAATCTAACACTGACAGAAAAATCTCAATCCGAGGGTAATATATTTGAAGTTTAGCGCGATTCTTTGCAAAGTTCTAATCCGAGGGTTAATATTACAGGCTCCGTTTACAGCACATGCGAGTTATAGTTTATTTTCTTACACTTTCTTACTTTCAAAAGCAGCTGTAATGGTGAACGCGACACACTGCTACATCATGAAAGGCGCATGAAATGTATGACAAATTATATGACGCGACTCTCCTGGCAATCGGGAACCATCGGCACATGCCGTAAATGAGTAAATGAGTATCGGAAAGTACCGACGGTTCCCGATTGGGTTAAGTGTGCATAAAGTGATGGCGCGATAGTGACATTTTCAGAATAGTACCACGTGATTGTGTCTTTCCCAAGGTACATGTAGGACAAGACAAGTTTATCCGTTCCTTAACTAAAAACGATAATGCACTTCTGAAGTTTAAAGAAGATATGAATGCTAAAAAGAGTTAAATCTCGAGGAAAGATACACATTATAACCGATCATCACGAGTTTGATATTATGTTTATCCAATAACACGACAAGTGGTGAATAAAAGCGGCTTGATGTCATGAAGCTGAATGCTACATAATAATGGATTTCACAATGTGAAATTGTACAAATCATAACCCGGAAATGAGTAAATATTCACATATCTTATGGGTAACTCTCATTATTCTAAATTTACCTGAAAGTATTTCGTTCGGTTCTGATTTTGAAACAAACCCTGACTTGTGATCGATTTACTGGAATAGCAATCTTTTTAAAACAGGTCATTCTTATATATTTAACAAACGCATTTTAGGCTATATATGTTTCTATATCTTAAATGTATTACGACATTTATACATTATATATATGATGCGTTCAACGACACTCCATGTGTCCAATGTTTTGTAAGGCTCGCAATGAAAGGAGAAGTTCATTACAAACACTTCAGTAACATTTTCGTCTTTGTTTACTTTAGAGAAAACGATGTATAGCATACCTGAATGAAGCAATATTGAGCATGTCATTGTCGTGTCGCGCGTGTTAACATATGGTACGATCTGAACGAGAGCGTGTAAACAAGTCACTCAGATCAACAGGCGCGTGATCTGTTTCAAGTAAAACCCATGTTGGCGCCACGGTAGCAAGAGTTCGATTCACAATATATTTATGATAGGCTAATGGGACTGCCCCGGTTTTGATAAAGGATACGCAAGAACCAGTGTTTAGGTTTCAAAGGCATAACGATCATAATAAACGACCTCTTATATTTTATCTCTAGAGAAAAAAAGGCATTCTATCACAAATTACTGATTTTTAATATATATATATATATATATTTTTTTAAACAATTATGAAACAAGTTATTTCAACATATATTAATCACTCTTGTACGCGCGCTTAGGGTCTTAATGTGGGAGGAAACACGAGTACCCAGGGAAAACCCACGTGGTCGGGCAAGATGATCTTATATCTTTTCACGTCCGACCGGGGAATCGAAACCTGGTAGCCTTGGGCGCTATCCACTGCACCACCCGACCACCGATAATTACTGATTGGCGACCCGAGAGTGTATCGTCACTGTTCAATTCCTTTACATACTATAAAATTGTGTACGTTCTAAGTTCAGATTTTTTTCATTGTAACCTGAATCGTCGTATAAATCCTATATAAAAACAATTATAACAATATCCCTACTGTAGTACATAAAGGTTCAAAGAAAAACATATTATAAGTCGAACACACCAAGCATCTATCTAACTTTGATCAAGGGTCTTTGTGACAACAGCGAAAATAAACATAGTCTCGTTCAACCAGACGCTTGATTCTCCAGCGCAGACAACAAGAGTCTGGTTGAACGAGACTAAAATAAACAGTAAAATCGGTTCTTATATAATGTTGTTTTATTGTTAAAGATACAGTATTTGCTTTCCATTAATCAGGTAGACAAACGGTTGTTTTATTCCGGAAACAGTCAGCTGTCAAAACTTACCCCTCGGGGAAATAGTTTTGGCTATTGACTGATAAAGCAGGAAACAACTGTACTGTGAGTTTTTACAGAAAGGTCACGTGATACAGAGATGTGTATAGTTCACGGTTAAGTGAAACAAACTTTTCAACTGCCATCATACTCTTTTCATAAAACGTCTCAAGATATAATCAATTTCAAAGTCAATAAGCAATCAATTTCTAAACCATAATGAACAACTTCAAGGTCATGGTGATCAATTTCAAAGTTTAATTTTTGGTTATTGGTTAAATGAGCTCACTACTGCCAACGTAATGAACGAGGATATTTTTCTTAAACCTCTCTCGACACACATGCTAGTCCCATGATAATGGTACGTGCGGTCACGAACAGTCTCGGCTATTGGATAGCTGGACGTTTTTTCCACACATAATCCATCCTGTCCTGTCACTCCTGTTATTCTTGTTAGAAAGGCGCTTATCAGGGCTTTGACTAGCCTACGTCAACCCAGCACCAGATTTGCCAAGTCAAACACTGCTATCTACAGCTGTGGTATAGGATAAGAGATGACCATGATGACGTAGCTTGCTCCTGACTCAGAAATCAATTCCAAAACTATATGTACGCTGACCAAAGGGAAAGGTAATGGCCTGATAAGAGGACATTTGTCATCAACAGTTTAAACAAATAAATGACCAAACCCACCGGATTTAGTTGGCTAGTACCTTCACCTGCCAGGACCATACTTAAACTAGATCGTAGCCACAACTTAAAAACATATCAGAAAACCATACTAGTTTATTTCAAATTGGTTGGCTTAAAATAAAGCTCTGAATATTTCCCCCTCTATGATAGATTTTGTTTTTATTCCACGCTAAGGTTGATTTTTGATAGACACCATGCATACCATTGTTGTCTGACGGGGGAGAAGGGTAATAAGTGGGTTTGGTTGGGGCTGGAATCATGACGGTTCCGCTGATATAAGCTTGCTCTCTCGGTTGTTACTGTACCGGACTAACATTGGCGGGTAAAGGCTACCTGTTATCAGAGAACATCCACTACTCACATATACGTCAACGAGGATTGATTTTCCAATCAATAATATAGAAAAAATCAATTCCTCGCGGGTACACCTGCCTTGGAAGGTTCATCGCCTGTGTGTGACTCCATACCACGTAACACCATGGTGTGAAATGTAAATTACATGCTAATTGGGTTATAATTAGCACTTTATGATAAGTGCCATGTGTCCGACATTATCCCCGCTAGCACCTACATGGGAGTTAGTTGGTGATTGAAACAAAGTACTGTGTCGACGACTTGTAATTCATTTCTATCGTATATTTGGATCAACCATAACAAACATTTTCTTTAACTTTTGGTTTTCGTTTCACAGATTCAATCTTGATTAATACGTATGTCTTTTGTATTTATAGCCTATTTTGCTGTTCAATATACAATGTACATGTAAAATGATGAACTAATTTTCACAAATTCTGGCTTGTTCCTGTTTCCAAGATACATTTGTATTCTACACGCTCCATTACAGAATAACAAGTCTTAAACTTCAACCAACAATATAATGTCGCAACCCTCCTGATGTTTGAGCACCAACCCACGGGAACACCTGCCACATATAAGTGTCCCAGCCCCCTCCCCCCCCCTCCCCCCTCCCCCCCTCCACGAGTACTTCTATTATTCACGAGTTAGTCGCCATTGCGCTTATCATTGGCATTATTCATCGTTTATATTGATAGAGTCCCTCCCGATGTTTGTGTATTTGCTAATATCGGCCGGTATACATAGCCACTACACCTGATACATGTAGTATCGCTATCATTTGATACGCCCAGTAGGACATACAGTCACGTGCTTCCAGCTGTTTCGTCAGTGTCCTCCTGGGGATGGCCATGGAGTTTTTATTAATTTCACGGCATCGTTTTACAAATATTGGAAAAATGTAATTCTCGGACTGGAATAATTAATCAACGCTGTACTGACATATGTGATGTATCAACACACCAATGGAACTATAGAGATTGGCGTCACAACCTGACAGATGGCACGGCAGTGTGCATGTTTTGTCCAACTAGTACTTCTTGGTCGAATTTAAAAGTGATCACTTGCGGTATGTAAATTATGATTTCGATTTTTCATCGGAAAAGTAGCACTAAATGATGTATGTATTTTATTCATTCGCTACTAAGGAGGGGGTACGACCTGTGGTGGCGATGGAAATTGTAGCAAAGGATGAGGTGAGAGAGAGTACAAGAAAAACATTTCAAATGTTTATTTTTATTTATTTTGATATAGTATAACAATTCCGTTTTTCTTTACAGAACACCTTAAAACAACCAGCCATGATGACATCCATGCGCGAGGGGATCCAGAGGGCCTATCTGGACGGACTCGAGTTTATCCGAACCAAAATCTCCGAAATGGAGCAGGAAGTGGGGCAAGTACGTACATCGTTTTACGACTGCAAGGACGGCGAAGAGGAGAGCGAGGAAAAACGCGAAGAGTATCTGAAGCGGTGTAACGAAAACTTTCTTATAGCAAATAATGAGCTTCGTCGGAAAAATGTTAAGCTTAATGTGATAGACAGTGAAATGAAAGTCGTGGGAGTTATCAATAAGCTACGAGAGGTAGCGGATGTTGACCAAGGGGAGATAGCGTTCATCACACAATTCTGGGAAAATGTGAAACAAACAGTAGAGGGGTTACGAATGATTGTAGAGAAGTTCCAAACGAATGTGTTACAAAGACTAAATCAGAGTTGTACTAGTTACAACAACGCCGACATCAATCTGGAAGTGTCGGATAGGTACATGGAGGAAATCATCTCCTACATAGCCGGTCTGGAAAGGGAGATTACCAATATTAGACTTCTGTTGAAGAGTTTCGATAGCGGTATCCATCAGGACTTATACACGGATTCAAAGTTTTCGGACAAACTTATGGTCAGCTGTGACTTAAAAGCATTTCCTATTCTCCGGTTGGTTCCGGATCTAACGGCAAAGGTAGAAAGGCTCTGTGATATTTCTCGGAAGTGGTTAGATCGAGACCAACAATATATGGATGAGGTGAACAATTATATAAAAAAGACACGAAACATGACCAAAAGGAGGGAAGAAGTACTGAAAAATCAGAAGGAGAAACAAAAGAAAATTGAAAAGGCTGTTAAAACGGCACATATTTTACTTCACAATAACCGAGAAAAACTCCAAAAGATTGAAATGGAGTTGGATAACTTAGAGGTACAACTGAGTGGTTTTAAAACAGAGAAGAAAACAAAACATTCTGAGAAATCACAGAAATCGAGTATGGCAGACTTTCTGAAGATCACTCTGACACAAACAAAGAAAAACTACAACCTTCAGATGAAGCGACAGCGGCTGGTGAAACAAGTGCACGATCTGGAGGAGTTCCTGGTCTCGATAGAACGAGAGTTGTCAGATGTCGAGGATCAGATGATGGTGAAAAAACAGGAAAAGTTCCTGTTACGAGAAAAAGTGGACACACACCAAAAAACTTACGAAGCGTTTAAAACAGACTTTGACCGTTACTCTGATGGCTTAGAGAAACTCGAACAGGAAGTGAACGTCCTATCTGGTCAGTTGTTACAGTTAGAAATTATACAGACGTACAAAAGCAGTCCTGAAAACGTGGAGCAGATTTTCGATCGACCGCAGACTGTAAAATTAGCACCATCCCTAAAAGAGAAGATTAGGCGGAAGCGGAAAGCCCTTGTGACGTCAGAATGAGGACACTACTATTTTAATTGTCAAATGCATGTGTTTATCCTTGAGGGGACTTTTTACAAGCTTCCTATGTGAGTGTGCTAAGGACATGAATGACCCATACAGGGGAAAATGTTTCACCATATTCCTCCGTGCTATCAATAGACCGTATGAACTTGAACAGGTAATCAAGGTCAAGAGGTCAAGGTGATGCTGTTCAAAGCCTAATTATCTAAACAATACACATTGTTATGGAAACAGTAAAATATTTACAGATTTAAAAGAATGATTTGTAGATGAGAGACGAACGTATGTGGGAAACTTCAATCGTTTCAATTTTCTAGTTAAGTTGACGCCGAACCATGGTTATGTTGATAATGACACATTTGAACAAGTCAAACCACTGTGGTGTGCCCGTTTGTACAAGGAGGACACGCGTATTTGTCTCTGTGAATGTATGTGTGTTTCATCAGCGATTGGTACAAGTTCCCCGCTTCTACATGATTTACGGACAAGTTATTTCCGGTAACTTAGCGACAACATTCGGAACCACTCGTTATTTTCCGCACAAATATATATTTTTAAGTAATTGATTGAAATGTGGCTATCCGGTTCGTGGGGACGCTTCACTATACGTCTTCAAGGTCTGATGATGTTTGATACCGTCGTTCGATCCCCTAGTAAAATCTTGTTGGTTTTTATGGAAAAGTCAAATGGAGTCTCGTTATACAGTTAACAGAGTTTTACTGAACAAGATTCTTTACAAGTCTTGGATGGTGTTTGGTTGTGGCGCAATGTGATATTTACGGCCAGAATCGCCCAAACTAAATACGGATTTTTTTTTATAGAAAACATGGTAAGATAACGGTGGACTTTCACCAACACCGCGTAAATAACGTGCAGTGGCGAAATATTTTAAAGTCACCGAGCTAGGTTATATTTGAGTAACGAGTTACCGTAAATACTTCTACATGTAAGTAAGGACAACTCCAGAAACTTATCAAACAATTGTTGTATAATCTTTCCATGCGACGAAAGAAAGTGATGCGATGAAGAATGAACGTTCATTGTCATTACAATACCCATCTCATTGCCATAACACCTGTTTTATCGACTTTCGTAAACCACTGCCCCAGAATTTTCAGATCATAAGACTTAGTGTATGTGAATACATTTTCTGTATTTGAAAAAAAAAATTGCAAACATTTTCAATGTTAAAATCTTCATCTGCCCAAACTACTATTGTAATCGCTGTAAGACATTGCTTCGTTCAATCAACATATCCTTTGTATAATTAGGTTAGGCTCTCATTACCGATTATAAGATAATGGCTATCGTCACAAAGCAAATTGATGGTAAAACAAAGGTTAAAACACAGGAAACTCTAAACACGACACCTGTTTAAAAACCATACAACGTTACCGGTTGTGTTACCTCGTATTAAGAAGCACTTCATGCACATGTACATTTTACTTTTTTTTTTAAATTTAAGTTTGAAAACATGTTGAAGTAATCTGCAAAAAGCATGATTTATCTAAAAGGTTATAAAGTCTGTTGATGAGTGCCCGCCTCGGTGTTACGTCTTCGGTGGGTACGCTAGAGTTGTCTCCCATCGCTGGCAACCTGATACTTACTATTGCATGGTGATACCATTATTACTTTATAACCCTGCAAAATCCATTTGACATTTTAGTTATAGCAGCAATGACTACATTTTTTTGAAAAATTGGATACTACTTACTCCTACTGTCAAAATTACATATACTATTGAACAAATATAAACGATATATAGAATTTAACCTAAACGATAGTTCGACTTTTAATTAATTGCATTTTGTATGATATTATAATATTCCAAAAAGACTTAATATAGATATCAAACATTTGTTTCTGTTGGCTTTCATAGTGAATATGAATACCAAGTGAAAACAAACAAATGCAAGATTAAGTGATATTGCTATTTATGGAATTCATCACGGCGATCGTAGGTACCTGTTTCTGGCTAAACTAGTTCCTGCATGTACTATACACAAAAAACGTACAAGAAAGCTGGCATGAAAGTGTAATGAGGGCTGCAAACCTTTATGACGTGATCGTCTTTGACAGTTCATTACTCGACAGGACATATGAGATTATTAATTATTGATACAGATGCCGAGAAAATTGTGACTACGAAGCCGCCAATTGATTGCAGCTTCAAAGAAAATGTGTCTTTTGATGTGCGTAATACAATAGTATCGGTCGACCACAGGTAGTCAGTGTTACAACAGGTATAAATTACCCAGAAACGTCAATAGCACGAGGAAATTCTTTACTACTGAATGAAAGTTCACCAAAAAAACTGTTGCATTGCATTTAGAAAATCAATTATAATGACTTATTGAAAAGTTTATATTTATAAGAAATATTTTTATTTGAGTATTGGAAACTCAATATCTTGCATTTCCATACAAATTGACCACAAATCCTCCGTCAGTAATGATTCAGCTGTTGATGAACATCTATTAAGGGTAAGCAACACAGTAGCTAAAGTTGTAGGTTATGTTTGCTAAATGACAATGTCACGTCCATTTGATTGAGCATGTACAGATGCCCCCTTTTCTTTTGCCAAATCGATATAGCCTACCAAATGGTAACTACAGTATGCCAAACACAATTTAAGTCGACCATTTTCCGTCTTTGCGTATTGCAGAGTTATCTTCTCTTGTGAGCAGGATTTGATTGTTACGTCATCGGTTTGTGAGAGTAACGTCATCAACTTTTGAGTAAAACGACGTAATTTTCTCACACAAACTAATGACGTAACAATCAAAACCTGCTCACAAGAGAAGATAACTCTGCAATACGCAAAGACGGAATACTACGAGACAAGAATATATTCAAATGTCTTCATCTTCGTCTGGACGTCAAATATACATAAAAACTACTATCACAGGTCAACGATATAAAAAAACAAGATAATGTTTTCCTTAGTTTCCTTCTACTGTATATGAACATGTCGATGTTCCATATTTAGGTCCAAGCACGTGGATTACATGTGCGTTTTATCGTTTTATTATGTTTATTTCATCTTGTTATTCATCTTAGATTTCAGTTTTACATGGTTATATGTTAATTACGATCCATTTCTCATTGTTATTTGCACCTCTTCAGAAATCAAAATATTGTGATATGTTTATTTTACATCAGGTCCATTTTTATCGTACATGTAGGTATCATGACCTTTCTTCTTAATTAACGTCCTCCCATATTGCATACCATTTCTATTACATGTTTCCGCATGTGTTGTCTGAGTGTTAACATAGATAAACCATATTTTTGAATCTCGATAAATCCGTTATATTGCACGGTATTAATCTGTATATTGTTATATGTTAAAACGAGGGAGAATACGGAAAGCCGTTGCCGAGAATCAAGGCGAGCTATCTGCAATTCCTCTTCCAATGAACAAAATGACCAAAAGTTATCCAACTTTGTAAACAGAAGCCCATTGTCAAACCTGATTCATTCTTATACTGATCTACCCGACAGATCATTCAATCGTCTTGCTCTGTCACAGTAAATGCTGTGAAGTAAATTTCTTGACAGGAATCGAATTTGTGAGACATCAACACATAACAATACCTAGTTCCATACCTTGCTTTTGTTAGTATCTGAAAGTGATTAAATGTTTCCTAATCAGTGAAAAAAATATCCTTCTGTATGATTGAGTGCCATAACTGGTAATCGACTACTATGATGTCACATGATTTGATGAATGACTTCGTATAAAATGTCCATTTACAATGGAACAGTCTGGGACTGTTTACATGAATGCCTTATATGCCAAATACGCAAATTACATTTTTCTAAAGATATACCAAGTGTTTTGTTTTTTGTACAACTTTCCAGCTTGGTAGATTTGCCTACACAACACAATATAGTCATACGGTAACCACATGGATAAGAGGTTTTGCTACTTGAAGGGACGGCGAATTAATTATTAACACATACAACATTTGCAATGAGTTTAGAAGGTCAATACTAAACTTTTTGATTTCCCTTATGAAGAGAAAAAAGTAGAAATTATTTTGGAAGGGCACCAACATGTATAGTATCTTGCGACCTCAAAATAGAAGGTCTTGTTTTCATTGCAATGACACTATGAACAAAAGAGAAAAACTACCTTTACATTTTCATGAAATGATGCTACAAACTATTGTGTAATATTACTAACGTCGAGTGAATAAGGCAACGAACCTGGCATTGAGGAGGTAGACTGGTACTTTAATAAATTATAACTTGCTATATTTCCATATTTATTTGCCGGGTACATAAATATAAACCGCGAATATCTATCCGAACACATTTATATGTGTATATGACATTTTCTATTGGAAATTTAACCTGTGAACAATTGCTAATATAAAGTTAACATTACTACGAGGGAATGATTCAACATAGTCTTTACAAAGGTGTTAGCAACACAGAACAAAACAAAACATTAGTTGTAAAAGTGTTAGTTTATACAAATATAATCTGCAGGAAAAGGTTAAGATGTCGCCTGATCAGTAGAAGTACATGTATCAGGAGTAAACATAGGTCCGTGACTAAATCTACTCACATAAACAAAGGTAACACAGGTATAAAGAGAAGCTGTCTATTGCAATCATGGATCCGTACGTTGCTGGTAGCTTGATTGAAAGGCGCTCAATATCACCAACCAAATGAAGGAGTTCATGTTGAAATTAAGATTGATTTGGGCTCAAACTTTAGGTGGTATTGAATCGACATTTTACATGTGTTTGTCTGGAAAATATTGATCACGTCACGTGTGTAGGGATGAACATTGATCTACGATAATCTTGTCGATATGCATTTGTTTAAAGAGCCACCGGTTTAAATGCGCGTTAATGATGTTTATGCTAAGCAAAGTTTATGCGAGGCTGTTTCCCGTAAGTAACTAGAAAATAAAAAAATGTTAGCCTTAGAGCTTTCGACATATATTTCGACAATCAAAATGGAAATTAAGCTCTAACTTGTTTGTCATATCACAACGTGACAAACACATACTTTACAAGGAATGGTAATATTTTTTTTGCGATTCGGAATATTTCTCTGAGGAAAAGAAGATACAACAATGGCATTCAAAACACAAACCTGGACTAACCGATACATAGTGTTTTCATTTACACAAATGGTTAATCTTTAACATGGAATAAATTGACGCATGAGCAAAGCCAAAACCACCACGTCAATGACATCAGGTCAGGTTACTGTAATCTAAAATATATAGCACACGCACTCACGTACACTATTGATGTTATTATAATCTAAATCACAGTTAAAACAAACTATTGAATAAAAAGTGTAGTAACGAAGGTCGTACACTCATTTAACTGACGTAATGCTATTCAGAACATTGCACGTCTGGCGTGTTGATCAACTCTCCATATTGTGTATAGAAAATGCTTTTCGTGTGTTAAATAGAAGGTAATTGCATATTGTGAGGATATATTGAACACTTGCCAGGATAAGTCAACTTTGAGCTGCTCGTAATTTACTGTCAGCCAGTAAACAACGTCTAGGCCAGGAGAAGAATCAGTGTTAATGTTAGTTGGTAGGGCAATGATCATGAGATTAGCTGAAATTCATATATATCTTTCACTATAGGATTTTTTAAAATATATATTGACAAAAATAATAGGTTTTTCGTCCCCCTACCCCTTGAAAATATAGAGAGCGCAATGTCAATTTCTGTAAGAAAATGACGGTAAGGAAAAAGAGTGTGTTAATTGTAGGGAAATGGGCGTCATGTGCTCTTCTGCCATAACAAAGATCAGCGTTTGATGGCATCAAAGACATTGCAGTACCTAGAAACAATACCAGATGAAAGTGATTGGTTTCGTCTGTTTGTTATTCATTGTTTCCAAGACAACTCGTCATAACAGAAATGTTATTGACATCAATAATTAATTAGCGATTCTTTGTGTTGTTATGATTTAACAGTGTTCCGTTGTATATGCACGTAATGAACGACCCTTCAAGACTAACACCCAGTCAGGCGATAAAGGCACGCAATCCACGTGCAGTGCAGCGTGTATCACGCATTACACTGACTCATTATAGTAAGCATATACAGTACGTCTTTCATTATTTCGATTTTCAGTTGGTAAAGTAAATATAACAGTATCACATCGCCAAAGGCAAAGAAACAACAGTAGCAAATGAGGAAACACCATCACAAAACGAAAGACATCAAGAACCGTTCGCAAACCAGACACTTCGGAAATGTAGGCGTCATGAGGTCTCCCATCAAATGCATGTGTATATATGGGTCACGAACGTAACGTGAAGATACTTCTTTTAACAGTCCCAGAAGGTTAACATTAAATTGTCTGCAAGAGTTGTTCCTCATCCGATTTGCTTCGAAACCTCAATTTCTGTCATGAAATTGGCATGATTGACACACTTCAAAGACAATTGTGACGTTGTTTTTCCACTGTCGCAAACAAAATTAGATAAGGATTTATTTTGATAAGTTAGTTGACTGATTCTTCAACTGATTTGCTAAGAAACTTAAAAGTTCCTCTCTAGAGACTTAAATGGTCGACACACTTTTAGCACAATGTTGACGGGGATTTGAAAGCCAATTGTACAGCTCCATAATCACCTTTTCATGCATGAGCCCGATAACTTGCAGCAATTACAACATGAAAGTTAAATTGTAAGTATGACTAAAATACATGACTGATTACAATACAAGCCTACAACGGTAGTAGGTCTTTATTTATCACTCTATCACAAAATAATTAGGCTCAGGACAAATTCCATTACTTCTGTATGTAACACTATACTGTCCCCAGATACGTCAATGAGGTCTGACGTTTGGGGAATATTCATGATAGAAATATATTATACTAAAAACAATCTGCGTAGTAAAAAAAATAATGTTGACCGCACGCGCCAACCTGACAACTGAAAACATGTACCGTAATAGGACATAAGATCGCTTCATAAACCGATGTATAGAAATGAGTTACCGACTTTAACTTGAAGGCAGCGTTACAGTTTCATTCGCAGTTATCAACCTGAAATTAAGAAACCTCTGTACTTTTGATAAGAGCAAATTAACTACCTTAAACTCCCCACTATCAGCGGCAGAATACATGTTCCTATTCTAGCAAGGGGAAAAAAGGCTTATTTTTGAAGCCGATGTTTTTTCAAGGTAGTCTTATTTATCGAACTGTTTAGACATTAAGCTCTGAATTGCTTATGTTCAAGTATCCTTTTGAATCATTAAGACGGTGAACCTGTCCTATCTCAATATACTATCTTGATCATCACGATACCGTGGATGTGATACTGTTTTAAAAATAAATAAATAAATAAATGAACAGAATGACTTTATAAATAAAACAAAGTGCATATCAGTGTGTGACGTCACCAAGTCGATAATTAGAGAGTAAGTACGCTTTGCTAGTCACGAACCCAAGCTGAGGGATTGGTCAGACATAACAAGGGACATCAGATGTTCAAGACAGTGTTGCAGAATGACTATAATACGTGAGGGGAGGATATACATTACAAGGATGATATATCTTAATTGATAGATATACATATCATCAAACTAAAAATATATCGAGTTAATAGTATCATTCATAATCATCCTTTTATGTCCATAGATAACAAAACACTCTTGTTTATAATGATAACGAAAAAAAAGAACTATTTTGTTTGACCAAATATCTTTAAAAAAAAAAGTTTATTATGACAAAAATGAAAGTATTTTTCTATTTAAAATATTATATCAAGAACTCACATAGAAAGTCATTCATTTATGCAACTGTAAACTGTTTCCTTATACTTTTATCATCAAATTTCTGCAATAACAAAATTATGTAACTTGATGATTACCCGTAAAACCTGCTAAGGCTTACAGCAAACATATACCTGGAATCTTGGTCATGTTTTCAAGGTATGTCTATTTTCATCGCCTGTCTAATTTTAACGTCTGACGATCTCAAATGCCCCACTTGAAATAAGGATCCGACAAAGGTGAACCCTGCGATCCCTTTATGTTTGTATTAGATGTAAATAAATCTTTAAATTCAGGAAAGACATTACTTGCATTTGAAACATTCAAAACATTCAAAATTATCTTTTTAGTGTTCATCTTTGAAACAAAGTAAACTTTTGTTCATTTAATGATGTTTCTATTTCTTTTCAAGTCATCTCTCGATTTTTTTTATTAATAACCTCTATTACATTTAAAAATGTTTCTAAGGTATTTTCAGATGTATAATCACCAAATTATATGCGTATTTTTTTTAGAAATCCCCTTTGAATAAAGGACATATCTGTTTAATTTAAATATACTTGTATTTATATAAATATTAAGAATCTCCATTAAATTTAAATATATCTCTATTGCATTAAAAGCTATCTCTATTCCAGATAGAGGCTACGTCATTTCATTTAAAGATATCTCCGATAGGTTTGCGACTCCTATTTGAGTATCAAATGTTAAGTTGTTATGCCATAACTCACCATATATGTCAAAGCGCTTGTGTTCTCAGCGCAGTATATATATTTAAGCAATAAACTGCATAGATGTGGCAGACCAACTGGTATAACTGCCACATGGGTCACAGACAAACTGAATGGTGCGCGCTAGCAGTTTATTGCTTATATTTATATTTCCATAATGAGAATTCGCAAATTTTTTTTTATGTCTTTTCCAAATTTCAAATTTCCCGCTTATTACCGTCAGGTCAGGTCAGTATCTAGAACGGCACAAAGATAACAGCTGACGTCATGCGCTATTTTCCCATACAAACTTGAAAAGACTCCGCAACTTTCGTTTATAATTCATTTGATTTTGATTTATATATATATCATATTCTCGATTCATAAATAGTAACAAATGACAATTTGTAAGTAACTAATCAAGTGTCGTAAAACATTTTCCGATTTTATTGCGACCTATATCCGGCGCACGCACCCAACGGAAGTCTGCAGTAATCAGGTCAGAGTTATATTTGTGAAAAATCCAGGCATACAATTGTTTGTTGATCACACAGACACTTGAGACAGGCAGCTGGTGTTCGTGATCAAAGCAGAAGATACCGATAAGTTCGGTAGTGACACTGTTAAGTCGCTCGGAGGTGCAAAGACCAACTTCAGTTATAGTCTCATAAGATGAAGCTGCTATTGGCAGTACGTTAGTAGTAATATAGAAGGGCTTTGCCACACCTAATGTAAATATATATGTATACCCCACTGTCTTGCATAGGTCATTTTAATAAAGATGATGTAAAGCATCTCTCATCTTGATGTCATTTTGTCGGGTAAAATGTATCTAGTATTGCTATGTCACAGCCATAATAGAACAGAAAGGGTAAAATGATACAAGATATCATATGTAAAAAAAGTATGGTCCACCTTGGGTAAGACACATAATCACTTATTCCGTCTTTGCGTATTACAGAGTTATCTTCTCTTGTGAGCAGGTATTGATTGTTATGTCATTGGTTTGTGTGAGAAAATTGCGTCGTTTTCTCAAAAATCGATGACGTTACTCTCAAAAACAAATGACGTAACAATCAATACCTGCTAACAAGAGAAGATAACTCTGCAATACGCAAAGACGGAATAGTCAGCAGATAAAAAGGTACAAGGACAGTTAAACACTCCATACTTTAAAAATGCAGAACTATTTCCAGAAATACAAAGTTAGGACGCATTTTTGAAAATGAGTTTGTCGAAGTGAATACTCAGTTGCACCATATATAAAGGGAGGCAACTTCATTACACACAGAAAGGATAGATACATTTCAGTCCTTTGAATTGTACATACTTGATCAAACCTTTTTCAAACTACATAATACGCTATATCAAATACATTTGTCATCATTCATGTGGTTATTTTTTAAGATATTGACATGTCTCCTTTATTAAGCATGTGTTATGTATACTAATAAAGAAATATTAAATGACTAATTTACACACGGTTATATCTTCATAACAGTAGTTTTGAACTTATATTCCTAAAATATTGTAAGATAATATGCAGTTATTACATGTTAATACAAATTAATAGTTGTTAGCTAATGTAAAACATGTAAAATAATTTAAAGTTAATTATTGCTTTTCTTTATCTAATTTATATACAGTATTACGTTTTATTTGACACGTTAGCGATATGTGTAATTTTTTATGACTTATGGCAATGTTTTATAAGGCAACAGATACGCGCATGTGCGTCCCTTTTCCCCAATAGACCATACATGAGCAATGCGCTTCCAAAAGCAATCCCCTGTATGACAAATATGAACGGGTTACGAGTTAGTTCTTTTGTCTTGTCAATATAAAGGAAACACATTAAAAAAAAAAAAATCCACATTAAAAGTGAAAAATTGTTCATTCTATTAACCTTTGATCAACTCGACCCGGATTGGCCTCTGTTATTTTGGTGTGTTTTCTGAATGTCGTTAACTTGTTTCGTTGTCTCAGCAGTGTTTCATATAACGACGTTGAGTTCTGATTTTCTCCTTGTGAATTGATGTTGTTGAATATCATTTTATTTTTATATTTTTGTGTATTTATTTGTTTCTCCGTTGTAAAAATAAACTGTATATCCCTGTTTTTGGCATAGCGGAAGCTGTGGTGATGGATGATCGTATTCATGACATCTCTATAAGTCATTATGTGCATTATGTATTACACTATATATAGACAGACCTATCATAACCCGTAGACTTATCAAAACTGCGTACCAATCAGTTAAGAATTTAGATGAAGATCATCATGCGTACTTGCCACGGGCATTCTATAGCTTACCATAAACAGATTTTATTTTAATTTTCCTTCAGCTGTTTTTTTTCAAGAAACTTGTAACATTTCACATTTTGGCATACAAACTTACAAAAGCAATAAATGAAACAAAAATATGAACAAAATAAACGTTAACTTATTTCATTTCAAATAGTAAATTAAAATTGATACGATATTGTATTACAACTATTTAACATGGTTGAACGCAGAGCCAAGATCTTTGGGAAAGATTGTTTTTATTTGTTTTTATGGTTGATCATGTCTTCGCTTTTAATTTGACGTTTGATGGTTCCTGTATCCTCTATTCAGTCTTTGCGTATTACAGAGTTATCTTCTCTTGTGAGCAGGAATTGATTGTTACGTCATTTTTTTGTGTGAGTAACGTCATCAATATTTGAGAAAACGACGTAATATTCTCACACAAACAAATGTGGTAACAATCAATACCTGCTCTTTGCGTATCGCGGAGTTATCTTCTCTTGTGCGCAGGTATTGATTGTTACGTTATTGGTTTGTGTGAGAAAATTACGTCGTTTTCTCAAAAATTGAGGACGTTACTCACACAAACAAATGACGTAACAAACAATACCTGGTCACAAGAGCAGATTACTCTGCGATACGCAAAGATGGAATACTCTGGGGTAACACTCTCTTTCGCTCCCTGCACCCTTGGACCATGTCATTTCCAAATCTTGAGGAGATAAGAAGACTTGTTCAATCCTATCATGTACATCAAAAGTATCTCGCGGTCGCGTAACGGTAAGACATTACTGGCTTTTAAGTGTGACTCCTTTGTAATCTTCAATGGATATGTATCAGCCTAACGATTGGTCAGATTTTTTCAAATAGCTAGCCGCGTGCCTTTAATTTTGCTATGACATATTCCAGGGTTGCAGAAAACGAAAGTGAAATGCTGTTTTTTGTATATTGAATGTGAGTTCTACGTTTGCCATTTCGTTTTAATGCAGTTATGTACTGTTTTGTTATAACTTTTTATCTCACGTTAAAACATAATGACATACCGATCACGTTAAAACCTTAATAAGATATATAAGGATAGACTGACATCTATTTTAGGCTGTGACGCAAGATAACACAGACATTTATACACAGATGACGTAGTATTGTGTCGATATTAATTGGTATATGACGTAAGGATGTAATTGTTTGTTTGAGGCGTGCATGTCACATCAACATGTCAACATAATTATGTCATCATTTATGTAAAATAGGGAAACAAAATATCTATGATAAGAAAAGTATTAGTTTTAAGTACAAAATATCAGCTCCATGGTTCAATGGATAATAGTTAAAGCATATTTTCATCTTGAATATAATCATGCAGTGATCTAAAAGCAACCAATTAAACATTTTATGTCCTTAAATTTCCGTCACTTCGTCAATATAATGAATTCAAAATACTTTTAAAACGTATGTAAACATATCTGATTGTGAAGCCAAAGAAAGACAAACGCGGATGAAAGCGATGAGATTTCTATATTTCATTGTTAAGTGTAGATATCTGTAGTTACATTGGTATAACTAATATCATTATTAAATTATGAAAGTTTGATTTCTGTATTACATATGTATAATTATTCGTCCGTTTGACATTGGATTAACCAGATGTTTGAAAATTAAATTGTTAATATCCGTTTTTATATATCGGTCTGTCGTCTGTTCCCTCAGAAATCCAGCGCTCTATCATATGCGAGAAATAAGCGACCCGCTTAGAAATCGTCACAAATTAAGAAGAAATACACTTCATCTCAGTTTCAGGTAACATTTTGTATTTAACTATAACAATGTCGTTGTCGGTCGGGTAGTTGTCGGAATAGGCGATGTTGTTGTCGGAATAGGCGTTGTTGTTGTCGTGGTAGGCGTTGGTGTTGTCGTGGTAGGCGTTGTTGTTGTCGTGGTAGGCGTTATTGTTGTCGTAGTAGACGTTGTTGTTGTTGTGGTAGGCGTTGTTGTTGTCGTTGCAGGCGGAGTTGGTGTCGTGGTAGGCGTTGTTGTTGTCGTAGTAGGCGTTGTTGTTGTCGTGGGAGGGGTTGTTGTTGTTGTGGTAGGCGTTGTTGTTGTCGTTGCAGGCGTTGTTGTTGTCGTAGTAGGCGTTGTCGTGGTAGGGGTTGTTGTTGTCGTGGTAGGCGTTGTTGTTGTCGTTGCAGGCGGAGGTGTTGTCGTGGTAGGCGTTGTTGTTGTCGTTGTAGGCGGTGTCGTTGTTGTTGTGGTAGGCGTTGTTGTTGTCGTTGCAGGCGTTGTTGTTGTCGTAGTAGGCGTTGTTGTTGTCGTAGTAGGCGTTGTGGTTGTGGTAGTAGGCGTTGTTGTTGTCGTAGTAGGAGTTGTTGTTGTCGTGGAAGGCGTTGTTGTTGTCGTTGTAGGCGTTGTCGTTGTTGTTGTGGTAGGCGTTGTTGTTGTCGTAGTAGGTGTTGTTGTTGTCGAGGTAGGCGTTGTTGTTGTCGTTGTAGGCGTAGTTGTTGTCGTAGTAGGAGTTGTTGTTGTCGTGGAAGGCGTTGTTGTTGTCGTAGTAGGAGTTGTTGTTGTCGTGGAAGGCGTTGTTGTTGTCGTAGTAGGCGTTGTTGTTGTCGATGTAGGCGTTGTTGTTGTCGATGTAGGCGTTGTTGTTGTCGTGGTAAGCGTTGTTGTTGTCGATGTAGGCGTTGTTGTTGTCGATGTAGGCGTTGTTGTTGTCGTGGTAGGCGTTGTTGTTGTCGTTGTAGGCGTTGTTGTTGTCGTGGAAGGCGTTGTTGTTGTCGTAGTAGGCGTTGTTGTCGTCGTTGTAGGCGTATTTGTTGTCGTAGTAGGAGTTGTTGTTGTCGTGGAAGGCGTTGTTGTTGTCGATGTAGGCGTTGTTGTTGTCGTTGTAGGCGTTGTTGTTGTCGATGTAGGCGTTGTTGTTGTCGTGGTAGGCGTTGTTGTTGTCGTTGTAGGCGTTGTTGTTGTCGTGGAAGGCGTTGTTGTTGTCGCAGTAGGCGTTGTTGTCGTCGTTGTAGGCGTATTTGTTGTCGTAGTAGGAGTTGTTGTTGTCGTGGAAGGCGTTGTTGTTGTCGATGTAGGCGTTGTTGTTGTCGTTGTAGGCGTTGTTGTTGTCGTTGTAGGCGTTGTTGTTGTCGTGGTAGGCGTTGTTGTTGTCGTTGTAGGCGTTGTTGTTGTCGTGGAAGGCGTTGTTGTTGTCGCAGTAGGCGTTGTTGTCGTCGTTGTAGGCGTATTTGTTGTCGTAGTAGGAGTTGTTGTTGTCGTGGAAGGCGTTGTTGTTGTCGATGTAGGCGTTGTTGTTGTCGTAGTAGGCGTTGTTGTTGTCGTAGTAGCCGTTGTAGTAGTAGAAGTAGCCGTTGTTGTTGTCGAGGTAGGCGTTGTTGTTGTCGTGGAAGGCTTTGTAGTTGTCGTAGTAGGCGTTGTTGTTGTCGATGTAGGCGTTGTTGTTGTCGTAGTAGGCGTTGTCGTTGTCGTAGTAGGCGTTGTTGTTGATGACGTTGTAGGCGATGTCGTGGTTGACGTCGTAGGCGACGTTTGGTACGAGCTCGATGATCCACGTGTTGGGTATGTCGTAGGGCCTGGTGTTGGATACGGCCTGTCACAGCCGAATGGGCCACATGGTTTATCTTGACGATACAACGGTATTACCTCTGACTTGATTGATCGATAACTCATTTTTTGTACTGACACATCGGATGATCTGATGATTTGTCCAAGAAGACCAACAGGACGATAGGTGGAAGGTCGATCTATAGTAAAGAGATGTTTTATTGTTAAAATATTTGTAACATGTTAGCAAATATCGCGGTAGGTGACGGGTTTGCTGTTTGGGGAAATCTTACCGTTTTTATTTAGCCAGACGATTTGTTATATCACTAACATATTAAAAACAAATACGAAGTAGCAAAACACATATTATAGAATTTAGCACGACGTGATCAGGAAAATTAATGTTTTTTTTTCTGGCTTTGATTTATGTTTACCTCTACATTCTTTCGTGGACGCGTTACTCTTGGTAACCAGATAGCATATAAGTTTAGGGAAAAGCGTATTTTGAACTCCATTTATTTTCAAAAATGAGGACAAAAATATGATCAAAAAAAGAAAGAAACTACGACTTACAACGTTTAATACGTCTAACTCAGGTCACCTACGTTCTACTACGGTCAATAACGGTCATCCTCCACTACGGTCAACTACGTGTGTGACCGTAAGATTTGACCGTGGCTTTATCAACGCCATGTAAATCTAGGTCAAATCCATTCTGAAACGGTGTTCTTTAGGTGTTCTATCCTTGTGGTCTACAAGGATATAATTAAGTGCCCTGTGCGGCTTCAATTCTGTTGCTATGCCATGACCCCGTTATATCTTCGATGTGTTTGCGAATATTACTTTTATATACGGGATGTCAACTTGACCTTCATTTTGTTCTTTTCTTTGATTTGTCTTTTCTTGTTTCCCCCTTTTATTTTGCACTGTTAAATTGTTTCACATTTCGTACATGTATAAAAACTGAGTGTACAACATGTTATAGCGTATCCAAATCGACGTCGAATTTATATTGCAAATTCGTATATATTTAACATCTTTGTGTACATACGCTTCTTTGTTTGAAAAGGGTGACAGAGTACGTACCCTACAGGTCATTCACATATCAAACATAAATACATTACATGGTTAAATTAAGTTTTACACAATTATCCTCGGTTTATTTTGGTTTAGCTTAGTTTTTATTATGTTTTCCATAAATCAAACTCCAAAATAATCTTGGAAAAAAACGTTCTCATACATGTCACGAAAGGACGAAATAGTTTATTCCGCTTAGTATATGGTACATGAATGAAAAGTGGTTAAACTGCAAGCCTGCAGATAGCATTAAACCTTTTTGAGGACAGTTTTTCAGGATAAATAATTCTTTTGGAGGTCTTCAAAATTAACAAAAAAGGATATTTTATCAGCACGAAAGACACGACTATAGTTTCATTTTGTGATCGTCGGTAACATTTACATTTAATAATTAACAAGGTAATGCATATTGATCTATACTTGCTGTTGACGCGAGCCTAGTCTTATCTAAACTAACTAACTACACAAAGAAAAACGCTCAAACACTATTTCACGCTCACTGAAAGAAAGAAAATACTGTGATTATGGTACGCTGTGATAGTGATATTTGCAATATTAAGTTTATTTGCCTCTTCTTGAAGTTACATAGAAAAAAACACTTACCACATGAACGGCCATTGCCAATGTATCCAACTTTACACTGACAGCGGTAGGATGTTTGAGTTTTTATGCAATATGAATTCACGTCACAGTGATTATATCCAAAAGCACACGCAGCCAAACCTGAAACGAAACCAATAATTGTTTTCTCATAGATCAGTTTTCATAAATCACTCTTGTCGGATGATGTCGAAACTAAACAATGCTATTGTCTGCTCGCACGATGGGCTGTATGGTGACAGAACCTCGTACGTTTTTGTTAGCTGGCAAATGGCAATTTTAATATTTATAAATAGATATATATCTATTTTACCTTATGCACGGATTTAGTTTATTTGTATTATATTATGATTTGTATCATAATTAGATTAATAAGTTCAGCTGATTAGCAGTGAGACAGTGAACGCTCTGCTGTGATAAATACTCGCTCTTTATCAGGAGACTTACCTGGTATAGGTTTTGTCAGTCTTCTTGGTTCTGATGATGATGATCGTAGCAATGTACTTGTTTTACGGGGTGTGATTGATACGGTAGCTGTCGCAGTCACGGTAAGTAAAGGAAAAAGACAATATTTAGAACACCCGTGACATCTTTATCAAAACGAATGTTTTACCATGAAAGTTAACATCAACTGTAATAAAAATTATCGCTTATATGAAATGTAAACATTAATATAAGTTGTTTTGTTATAAAATAAAAATCACTTTAATTATGAATTACAAACAACTGTTGGCATTATGTTTAATAAAAGTTATCGCTTATATCACGAAAACAAATAAAGTTTGAAATCAATTTCAAAAAGAAGTTCCATATTATTTCCTTCTCTGGCATCATTAGACTCGAGTTCCTTAATATAAATCAATTCCCCAAATTCAGTTTGTCTATATGAAAGCTTTATACAGAAGAGTAAAGCCTTTATTAAAGCTTTGATCCAAACTTAATAGTGCTGTTTTATAACAAAACGAAAGTGATAGAATTTCGTGAAGTTAAGAACGTTTTGTTTTCACATAACAGGTAAAAACCAAGAAATAGAAACACCAATATTTCATCAATAGAGTATAATTATTGAAAGTTTTATAAATCTCTTTTTCTTGTAACAAAATCCAAATTGATGATTACATCAAACATTGTATTTGCCAAAGAACATTTTGTCAAATACGCAGAGAAGTTTAATAATTACAAGATATGTAATAATAAAATAACACTCACCGACAGGAAGCGCCAGAATCAGAATCAGCCATCTCATTTTGGATGAATGTATGGTTTGTTACTGTATACCAAACGGTACTGATCTTCTCTATTCCAAATCAAATGTGCTAGCATATCTTAACAACGGTGTATCTATTTCATTAATGTAATACTAGGCCTATACCTCGACCTGTACGGTTATGTCAATTACAAGTTTGTCTCCATTGTATAACTTATATTTGTTATGTGTAGGGTAATGAGAAAGTTAGGCAATTCAGTGTTTTCTTTTGTTGTGATATTATCTATTACATCTGTGATTGACAAGACATAATTGGTTGTAGTACAGTAAATGTAGAATGCCCAAGGTCAACTTTTCGCGTAGGTGAACCTCTTTGTGAGATTTAAACAATGATATAATGCGTACTTAACAGAGAGATGGTCATCTGTAAACACCGGACCTAATTAGATATTGACTCCGTATGTCTTCTGTATAAGACGCGTGCATGGCACCTTGGAAAGGTCATGTTCTCTATATATGTAGTAACTGTGTTTGGGACGAAATATTACTATTTATACCAATGTATCTGTTGTAGCTTTTAGACAACTTTATATATCAAATTATTATAATGTCAACCATTCTTATGTCAAAATGAAAGGAATGTTCTCAATATGAAACACAGTACTTTTAACAAAAGTAAGTAGATTTATAAAAAAAACGTAATGAAGCTACTTAATATGCCAAATAAGTTTGCTGCAAGAGTTATTGAAACAGGTTGTTATTATTTACGTATACGTGTAACATGAGTATAGAATACAACTTGAAACTTGAAAACTTGGTGTTGTGTTTAATTAATGCCATCGCTTAACACTAGTATTTCACTCCTTGTTTTGTTTACATATCTACGGAAGCGTATATTTGCCATTAGATATAGAATTATTAATATACATCACAACACAAAATATTTCGAGATACCAACATTTTTCCTGTTATGTCAGGTAATATATCTTGAGATATTTAATTGATGTAAGTATGCCAACTTTTGCTTATTCAGTATATGAAGGAAGAACTATGGAACACGATATGGTGGATATTGAGATAAGATTAATGATATTCATAATATGTCGACATACCATAAACCGAGTAACTGTTGTTAACATGATATATCGACGACATACAATATATTGAATTATTGCTATTAATATGATTTTTCGACATATAATATACTGAGTTGATACTATATACTATTAACATGGTATGTCAATATGAAATATATTGAATAAGATGTTACTTCAAGCTACAGACACCGCATTTACATTCAGGCAGTGTAGTGGGTTGGTTTAGCCAGGCTCCATGGAAAGTTCTTTTTAACAACGGTACGTATCTTTTCTAGACGTGTGTTTCGAGGATGGGGTGGGGATGAGCATACGTGTTCAAGTATACTGTTTTGCATAATTGCAAATACAGCTCGCTGTATCGCGGTCTTAAAACTACCAGTGTACCCTATATTGGTTTACCTATTTGCAATTCTTATAATTTACAGTTATAACAGTATGCAAATAATAGCGTTGATATACATTATATAAATAAATAATCATGAGAATATACCATATTTGATATAGCGCCCTATCTAGCTAGAATAAGCCACTCTAACGTGCTTTACAGTATATAGATATACAACTTATACAATCAATACAATTAGCATATACATCAATCAATACAATTTCGAGGAATTCGCAGGAGCTGCCTTATCATGCGCCAACTACTAGTTATATGCCACCTGGCTAATATCTCCTTATGTGTGTATGCCTTCGTGTGTGCTGGAGATGTATTGTGTTCTGTTTGCAGTGGAACCTTGCTTCCAACGGCATTATTTATAGTGCCTCTTCACTTGATTGCTACAGCAGCACAGATACCGCAATATCCACCCCAGAAACATTTTTTGATGCTGCAAGAATATAGTAACAGCTGTTCGCCATCTTTTTTTCTGAACTGATTAGAGAATGCTGGCTATAGAACTATTGGGTGAATACTTCACCAACAATTCAAAATTCAGATTGCCCAATTAAATATAAAAAAAAAATCATAGCTGAAGACCAAAAACAACTTTGATAACTTGTTCAAATTGATATATTGACATTCCCAGTGGCAAGATTATATCTAAGATAAAAAAATATTGGGAAATCAAGAGATTTTTGGGACCAAACTCTCATGGTATTCCAAATATAAATATAAATACATGTACTATATTTGTACCGTGTTGAGCAACAGATTTCTCTATTTTCATTGAAAATGCATTATGCAAATATAAAGGGTTATGTTTTTGTATTGTGAGAGGTTTATATCAATAAATCTACATGTATTTTATGATTCAGCAATTTCTTGTTTTATGGTTTTATACATACAATTGCAGACAGTATACCAATACTATCAAATGTACTGTCATGTTTAATCTTTAATTACTTCATGCGTATATATTTACATCTGCTCTGCATCCGTCCATTACTATGCATTACGAAAGCAAATGTTGTTATGAGACTGTGACGTCATCGGTTGGCAACGGACGCGATTGTTCTCTGATGCGACAGGTTGGGGATAAAAACATCAAGTTTAAGTCGTACATTAAACCAGAACCTCGGAATAAGTTTACACGGACATTCCACCGGGCATAACCAGCACACAGCTGTGATTTTGTCCTGCTTGAGCCGATATAAGTCTCAAAAACCGCCAATACGGGATGTCGCTACAGGCCGGAGACCCTCGCGACCGCCATGTCAACAAAAACCAAGCGGACGAGGAGGCGCGTCAAACAAGATCTAGTAGCAAAGGAAAGCCTTCCTAGTATTCATTCTCTCTAACATCGGATGGGGTCACATGCAAGATGTGCAAGGAAATCCCTGAACACAACGGAAAGGCTTTGGCGTGCCGGAGATGCCGGGATCACTATTGTAGCCAGTGTTTGGACAAGAACGTAAACGAATACACCGTGCTCGCCGAATCCACAGACTCAATGTGGTTCTGCTCGCCATATAGAGTTACAGTTGAGAGAGACCTTCACGCTGTACTCCAGATCGAACAGAAATGTGCGGAGATCATGGAAGTTTACGAAGAAAAAAATTAAATCTCTGGAAGGCGGATTGAAAATTTGTGCACCGAATCCCAGGTCAGGAGTATTGGGAAAGAGGAATTGACGAAAGGGACAGTGAAATGCCCGGAACAGGCACAACAGTCAAAGCCTACCACGGATACACCACCGCAGCAGGATGTCGATGTTATCGCCGAGATAAATGAGAGGAAGAATAGGGAAACTAACATTGTTGGTTTTGGGTTTAAAGAGCAAACGATAGACGACGGTTCGGCCAGGAAGAAAGCAGACATTGTCACAATTAAGAGCCTGCTTGCAACGTGCAAGCTTCAATATGAGGGCAAGGTACAAAGAGTCATTCGACTTGGTAAATATGAGAAAACCAACGATAATGCTACACCACCTAAGGCTAGACCGCTGTTAGTATCTTTTGTATCTGTTGATGACAAGAAAGCCTTCTTTAAAAATATAAGGAACTTGAAACACGAGGAGAAATACGCCACCATAAGAATAAACAACGATCTTACCAAAAAGGAACAGGAACAAGAAAATATATTGAGAGATGAGCAAAACTGAAGGATCGTTGTGTATCGGGGGAATATATTTTCCGAGTACGGGGCCCACCTTGGAACAGGAAGATCGTCCGACTGGCAAAACAGAAAGACAATGAGCGAACACTACAGGAATAGCTGATAGAAATGTCAATTCCAGACCAATTTCAGATAAATACAGGAATAATTTGGGCTGCTTTTCCACAAACTCGGATACATTAACAAATAAATTGGAAGAACTTAAGGCGTGAATTGATACTGACAAAATAATGGTTATCGGTATAAATGAGGTATTGCCGAAGAACAGTAGATACGCCCCAACAATCCCAGAATTATCGATAGAAGGATACGATCTTTTTATAAATAACCTTTGTGGAGGAAATGGTATCCGAGGAACAGCACTGTACATCAAGTCAGATCTAAAAGCAACGAGAATGAGTATGTCAGTTGCTTTCAAGGAACATGTTTTTGTCAGCGTTGACTTGGCCGAAGGAAATACACTATTAATTGGAGGTATTTATAGGAGCCCAAACAGCACAGAGGAAAATAATGATGAGTTAAATAATCTTTTACTGTAAGCAGGTAATGCCAAATATTCACATAAACTCATAATTGGGGACTTCAATTACAGAAATATCAACTACACAACAGAGTATAAAAACAAGACTGAAATAAAATGTATTGAAACCATCAGGGACACGTATCTATTTCAGCATGTGTAAGTTCCAACGAGGATAAGAAATAACCAATAACCCAGCTTACTGGACCTAATATTTACAAACGAGGAAAATATGGTTGGTAAACTATATGTCCAGAGTCCCCTTGGTAAAAGTGACCATGGATGTATCGCCTTTCAATTTTTATGTAAATATAACAAACCAAACAGTGCAACCATGAAACTTAAGTATAACCTACAGAATGTAAACATGGACGAAAACTATAATACATTCATCAGTAAATTATTATTGGCGGTAGACAGACATATCCCAAAAAGAAAGAAAAAACACAAACAACCATTAGATGTAAAGACAGTGGAAGCGGTTAAGAAAAAACACCGATGCTGGGAGAGATTCATGGAATCAAAGGATCAAATCAAACATGCAGAATATGTCAATGCAAGAAACAAAGTAAAGAACTTGGTTACAAAAGCGAAAAACAACTGGAACAAAATATCGCTTAAGATGTAAAAACAAACCCCAAGAAATTTTGGAAATATGCTAATTCTAAAACAAAAACAAGGACAGGAATATCCGAATTACACGTAAAGGAAAACGACAAAGTGGTACACACTGCCAAAAGTGATGGTGAAAAGGCTAACGTATTGGCCAACTTCTTCAGCAGCGTATTTACAAAGGAACCGGAAGGGGATATACCACAACTACCCATCAAAAAAATAAATCAACAATGTCTGAACAAGGAGGTCAACCAGAAAGAACTCATA